CTAAGGCCCATTGAAATCAGAGTGCAAACATGTTGACATGCACTAATAATGTGGGCTGGGGTGATTGTGCATGGGTTGCTAGGCTTTTTTTATGCATGTTTGTAGGCAAGTGCAGTCTACAGTCTCCATTACAAGTGGCACTTTTCCATAATGACAATGCAACATAAGACCGGCAGTGCCCAGCAACTACAGTGTACAGTGGGTCAGCACAGGACCTAGAAGACTGAGGCAATTGTTGTAGTAGCACTGACAACTACAATGATTGCCAGCTTCCACAGCTGTCCCTCAGGCATATAATATTGATACTTCCATTGGTCCAAGCTGGAACTCATATCTGGAGTTCAGCTTTAACAAGCCGTAAGTGAGATTTAAACATGCCCACACTAACCTCTTTAGTTGCCGCCACTGTGAAGCATATCTTCAAAATTCACAGCAATAGCACTCTCTCTGAGTAACTTAACTTAGCCTGCACCATCCTCTCAGAGCTCTAGCTCCATGTTTATGTAGCACTACCCCCTTATGAGTTGCTGATGTTTTGGGTCCCCCCTATAGTCCAGCACAGCCAGACAACATGCATCTTCTTGCATCCAGGAGTCAGTAATCCGTCCTTGAGCTTTGTTTTTTTGTGATTTTATTAGAGGATTGTAACCTGGATGACCTGGAAACTGAGGACAACTTCCTCCACTATCTACAAGTCTTTACACAAAAAGTTATCTTCATGGAGAGCTAGCCAGCATCTCCTGTTGTACCACTCCAGTCCCCAGATGCTCCTCTATCTGGATACCTGGAGGAATCCCTGAGCAGGAGATTCAGTGCCTGTTACTGGGCATGTCGAAGAACACATTTTGATCTAAATTTATGACGAAACTTGATTTTTAAAATTTTCTTACTGGACATGTTTAATAGCAAAAAGTCCAAAATATAGTTTTTTTTCTCAAAATTGTCGGTCTTTTTGTTTATAGCGCAAAAAATAAAAAACGCATAGGTGATCAAATACCATCAAAAGAGAGCTCAATTCGTGGAAAAAAGGACCTAAATTTCATTTGCGTGCAGCGTTGCATGACCGCGCAATTGTCAGTTAAAGTATCGCAGCGCCGTAACGCAAAAAATGGCCTGGTCCGGGAGGGGGGTAAATCCTCAGGAGAGCAAGTGGTTAAACTGAAGTGAACGCATATTGCAACCTTTTTCTCTAGAATATATTCATTTGCATTACTTCCTCAGGCCCTCTGCGTGAGCACTGATTACTGAGGCCAGTGCAAGAAACTTCCCGTATATGTATGTAGGTGAAAATCCACTCCAAAGGTGATTTTGGAGTGGATTTTCAACTTTGCAGCACATCATCTGTTGGAGTTCATCCCTCATTTCTTCAGTGTTGTTGTCACCATATTATTAATTTCTCCCAGAATAACAAGTATTATATGCTGGTTTTTCAACAATCAGCATATTACTCTGGTGAGTTCTATTTAACCATTTTTGGTGGTGGATTTACTTGGTGATGAATTATTTTGAACATTATTGATTATTTGAACTCTTGGACTTTTTCGTTTTTGCTGGATTTTATTTTGATTTAAAATATTGTTTCTTATTGTTTTGTTATTTATTTTCTTGTTACACTTTTGTATGTATTTAAGCGCAACCTATTTTTTTGAAGTTTTGTATATCCTATAAGTTTATAGGCTAGGTTTTGCAGCTTACTGTTTTATATAATTTCCGTGGCGCTGGTTCTTTATTTATATATATATATTTTATGCACTGCCCACTTTGGGATATTAAATCATAAAATTATTAAGTGACTTCTGGGTACTTAAGCTTGGACTCATGTCTTCGAAGAGATTAGATTGTATTGTATTTTAGTGCCTTTATATGCTCAGTCAAGCTCATTGCCAATCTGTATGCAATTGCACTGCGTGTTGGCAGATTGCGTGCAGATTGTAAGGGTGACAGGTCTGCCAGACAGAGATCTGTGTGTGTGTGGTGTAACAGCAGACCGTTCTGTGGATAAACTGTTGGGTGGTGGCAAGCTACCGTTTGTGGTGTGTCTGGTGTGGGGGTGTGTGGACAGTGGAAAAGTGATTAACACCAGGGTTCTAGCTTGTAGGACAGCTGGAGGAATCCTAGAAGGGTTTGCCGATCGCTAGGCTGCTCCTCAACCCTCAATTAGTGCACCAGATTGTATGTAAGATTTGTGTCTATATAAGATTTTTGTGTGCGGTCAGCCAGCTGGATTGGAGTGGAGTCTCCCTCTAGTGGTGGCCAGAGGTAGCGCGGGCTGTGAAAGTATATCATGGCCGGTCTTATATACGTACATATATTCAGATTAAGTCCCCCTTATTCCCTCTTACCCCAAGTCACGGCCGCAACTGCGCGCCTCGGTTAGCTAGTTGCTGTGGGCGTGTGCGTGTGGCTTGCATCCGTGACACTCCCATACCCTGATCTTTGACGTGCCTCTTGTGCATGCACTCTCCGATAATCTTGTTAGCCGGGAGTTCGCTCACACATGAAGGAAAACTGGTATCTTGTGACCGGATAGCGATAGAGGTTTCCAGTCTGTACAGAGAATGGATGTGCTGTGTGATCGGTGCCCACTGGCAGCAGGAGGTGTGAGGACATCAGAACAGGAGCTATCTGATCGAGCGGTGGGAGCTACTTGCGTCTAGTCCGAGTGGTGAATGGACTGGTGGGGGCCCGGGCGCAGGGATGCAGTTTCTGGTAGCTTAGCACTTGGGATTTGTCGAGCCCTGATCTAACAATTAACTTCTGTTGAGAGGAAAGTTGAGAGGAAATGCTGGAAAACTTTCATTCGATCAGCAGCTGCAGCCAATCTCCTACAGTGCTGATCAGTGTATTCTGACAGTGGAGGAGTTCCTGCTGTCAGAATAGAATAACACAGCGGGGAGGATTTCTCCATCCACCTCGCTTGTGAGAATGAGGGAATCCTTTCTTTTTTTTTATCAATCAGCCCTCTGGCTAGCAGTACACTGGTATTCAATTTTTATTATACATACAATATAAAATCCTAGTTCTATGAGATCTGACTAATCCAAGAATCACTTGCTACGTGACTCGGCATATATAGACAAATATTTTCCCATGTCATCTGAGAGACATGTACATACTTTCAAGTGCTGAAATGCTTTAAAGCGTGCAGTCAAGTGATGACAAGGGGGAGGGACTGCTGGTCTTTCATGCAGCTGGACAAGACAATTCTCAGGAGCCTTGGTAAACAGGGTTATCCTTCAATGCCTAGAAAATGACACAATTAATAGGAAACAGAATAAAACGGAAACTAAAAATAGTTTGCCTGTGTCCAAATATATATGGACCTAAGGTAGGTCTGGGAAGAGTAAAAATATGGCATAGGTGGGTAATACTATATTGTTTCCATTGTGTGCTATATCGTACTAGTTCCAATTCCTGATAATGTGCATTATCCCAGATAGGGTTAAATCTCATAAATACCTTAATCTGCTGCATCATTCTAACCTTGTTCCATACTTTTTGTGAAAGGACATAAATTGGGAAAAGTTTATTGGATTTACTGAAGAGTGATGCTTCTAAGCCATCTGCCACCTCCGTACCCCCAGAGAATTTCAGAAGTCTAGTAGCTGGGTCTTAGAGATTCACCTCAAGGTCATCTTCTGGGCATATGGTCTGAGCTATATGTTGTTGTTGAGAGGCTAGGTAGTAAAGCCAGGGATTCCGTAAGGCCAGTCCCCCGGCATTTTTAGGCCTTTGCAATTGCTTCAGTTTGACTCTAGGAATTTTAGATTACCATGTGAGGGATCGGTAAATGGAAATTAGTAATTCTGAACATTTTCAGAGGGATGACAACCATGGAATTATGGAAATATATAATAATTGTGGCATGAGGATCATTTTAATAAGGTTAATCCTGCCTACCAAGGACAATTTAAGCCTAGCCTACATTTTGACCTGGTCTTTAAACAGCTTAAGGAGAGGTACCAATTTGAGCTGAATGTAGTCAAGAAGGGGTGGAGTAACCTGGATGCTCAGGTGAAACAGGAATGCTATATAAGGATAGTGCCTGAAAATCTGGTGCCCTGTCCAATAATATAACGGATGACTTGGACCAATTAATGACCAGGCCAGAGTAAGTACCAAATGTTGTAATAACCCTCATGACTTCCTGCAAGGAGGAGGAGGAGGTGTCTCCTAACATCAGCATAGCATCATCAGTATATAACATGGGTTTTTCATGAAGGTCCCCATAATGAAACCCATGTACTATCCCAATGGACCGAATAACAGCAGCCATAGGCTCAATGACGAGGGGAAAAAGGAGTGGGGACATTGGGCAACCCTGTCTAGTACCTCTGTAAAGGGCAAAGCAAGGGGACACCCTTCCCGCCTCCCTTAGGGGCATTGTATAGGAGCTGGACCAATGATATGAAGCCCTCCCCAAAAACAAATTTGTGCATAATGGTACAAAGATAAGTCGATTCAATGCTCTCAATTGCCTTATGGGCATAAAGTGCCAACAAAGCTAGATCTCCCATATTACTGCTCTGGACTGTATATTTAGAAAAAGTCTGCATAAATTGATGGCTGTTGATTTTTGGGGCATAAACCTGGACTGGAGTGAGTGTATGATAGTTTATATGACCTTATTTATTCTAAAGGCTAAGACTTTCGCCAAGATCTTCACATCACTCTGAAGGAGTGATATGGGTCTTTATGAACCAGGCTCTAGGGGTCCTCACTTGGTTTCAATATTAAGACTATATTGGCTGTAGTCATAGATACCGGAAGGCAATGTTGTCCCTTTGCCTCTTTAACCAGTTGCCGACCGCAGATAGCCGAATGATGGCTACACAGTGGCCGGCCAGTTCTGGGAGGGCGTCATATGACGTCCTCCCAGAACGCACTTTCCTGCGCGCCCCCCGGACGCAGCTGATCATGTGATGTGATAAAAGGCCAATCACAACGGCTGTTTACCACGTGATCAGCCGTGTCCAATGACACGTTGATCACAGGGAAATGCAATTGCCGGTTCTCGGCTGCACTTTCCTCACGCTGTCAGAACGTGATGAAAGTACTGCCGAGAACCAGCAGTTGTCAGAGCAGGGATCGGCACTGATCATCAGGGCACTGATGATCAGTGCCCTGATGATCGGTGCCCAGCAGTGCCACCCACCAGTTCCATCCACCTGTGACCAGCAGTGCCGCCCACCAGTGCCCATCAGTGCCACCCATCTGTGTCACCCACCTGTGCCCATAAGTGCCACCCACCTGTGTCACCCAACTCTGCCCATCAGTGCCAACCACCTGTGCCCATCAGTGCCACCCACCTGTGCCCATCAGTGCCACCCACCTCTGCCCATCAGTGCCACCCAACTGTGCTCACCAGTGCCCATCAGTGCAGCTCAGCAGTGCCGCCAGTCAGTGCCGTCTATCAGTGCGGACTATCAGTACCCATCATCAGTGCTGCCTATCAGTTCCACCTATCCGTGCCATCTCATTAGTGCTGCCTATCAGTGACGCCTGTCAGTGCCCATCAGTGCTGCCTATCAGTGCCCATCAGTGCCCATCAGTGCTGCCTATCAGTGCAGCCTCATCAACGCACATCAGTAAAGGAGAAAAATTACCTGTTTGCAAAATTTTATATAGAAACAAAGAACCCTTTTTTTCCCAAATGTTTTGCTTTTTTTTGTTTATAGCGCAAAAAATAAAAACCCCCCAGCGGCAAGTAAATACCAGCAAAAGAAAGCTCTATTTGTGAGAAAAAAATGATAAAAATTTCATATGGGTACAATGTTGCATGACCACGCAATTGTCATTCAAAGTGCGACAGTGCTGAAAGCTGAAAATTGGCCTGATAAGGAAGGGGGTATAAGTGCCCGGTAGGCAAGTGGTTAAACACTTCAAGAAAATGTGGTAGGATAGTTTCAGCATAATATTTGTATACTTCCATAGGTAACGACCTACTCAACGCCAAAGCCAAGGGCGACTACTCTGTCCTCCTTCTCCTGGACCTCTCTGCGGCCTTCGACACAGTTGACCCCCTCCTTCTTAATAAACTACTCTCCCTTGGCATCGGAGATGCTGCTCTCTCTTGGTTCTCATCCTACCTATCCCGACGCTCCTTCAGTGTCACCTACAATGGTGCCACCTCCCCCTCCCTCCCCCTCTCTGTTGGGGTCCCCCAAGGCTCTGTCCTTGGACCCCTTCTCTTCTCCATCTACTCCTCCTCCCTGGGCAAACTCATACAATCTCACGGCTTCAACTATCACCTCTATGCTGACGACACCCAAATCTACCTCTCCACCCCTCACCTCACCCCCACTATCTCCGCCCGCATCACTCACCTCCTAAATGACATCTCAGACTGGATGTCGCTACATTTCCTCAAGATTAACCTCTCCAAAACCGAGCTTCTCGTCTTTCCCCTGCCCACACCCCCCCCCCCCCATCCTATCCATCATCACCAACAACTCCACTATCACTTCCGCCCCGCAAGCCAAAGTCCTTGGCGTCATTCTTGACGCGAACCTCTCCCTCCAACCGCATGTCAAATCACTCACAAACACATGCAGGCTCCATCTTCGCAACATTGCCAAGATCCGCTCCTTCCTCACCCCAGACACCACCAAACTTCTAGTACACTCCCTCATCATCTCACGCCTTGACTACTGCAACTCCCTCCTCACTGGCCTACCCAAGTGCAGGCTCTCCCCGCTCCAGACCATCCTGAACTCAGCTGCCAGACTCATCCACCTTACCACCCGCTCCACCTCTGCCACCCCCCTCTGCCTCTCCCTCCACTGGCTCCCGATTGCCCAACGCATCAAATTTAAACTCCTTACCCTGACCTACAAAGCCGTTCACAACACTGCCCCTGACTACCTCACCAATCTGATCACCAGGTACCACCCTACCCGTACCCTTCGCTCCTCACAGGACCTCCTTCTATCCTGCTCCCTGGTCTCCTCCTCCCATGCACGACTGCAGGACTTCTCCAGGTCCTCCCCCATCCTCTGGAACTCACTGCCCCAATCCATCAGACTGTCGCCTTCTCTATTCACATTCAGGCGCTCCCTCAAAACCCATCTCTTCAGGGAAGCCTACCCCACCCTCACCTAACGGCCATCCTCCCTCATTCCTCCTACCACTTCATCCCCCCCAGCCACTTCCTACTGTACCTTTACCCCCTCCCTCCTAGATTGTAAGCTCGTAAGAGTAGGGCCCTCTTACCCCTCGTACGCTGTCTGTCTTTGTTGTACTGTGCCATGTATTGTCCCCCCCTATTGTACAGCGCTGAGCAAACCCTTTGGCGCTATATAAACTCGTAGTAATAATAATAATAATAATAATAGTAAGCCATCCTCTCCTGGGGCTTTCGAATTGGGGAACAGTCTGGTTTCCAGCTGGAGCTCCTCTAAAGTCACAGGGGCATCAAGCTGTTTCTTAGAAGCATTAGAAAGGCATGATAATTTTATATCATGAAGATAAGCGGATAGAGAATCCTTAGAGTAATTTTGTTTAGATTGAGGTAGAGTAATAATGTTCAAGTTAACATATGTTCTGGGGAATTAGTCACTGACCATTCTCATGTTCTTAAAGCACCAATAGAAGGGGACACTTAATGGGAGTGTGCTATTTTTTTCCAGGAGGAGACCAGTTTGCTTGTCTTCATAGAAAGTCAGTTTGCAGAAGAAACGTTTACACTCCGCAGTCATGGAGGTAATATGACTGAACACTTCTTGAGCTGACATCCAAGCCTCCCTGTTCACCTCAGAGGGGTCAGCAATTAAATTTGCTTCCAGACAGCCTGCCAGCTGTGCTGCCCTTTCCCTCTGTTCATTGGTAGACCATTTAACAGCCTAGATCTCTGAAATAAAGAATCCCTGGAGGAAGTGGTACAAACACTAGAGTAACCAGCGTCAATGTCCCAAAAATTGAGATGTTTTTGCCTCTTTGTGGTCATGGGATGGGAAAGGGTGTAGTCAAAAGGTGTTGAGCTTCCATGAGGTTCTTGATAAAGCATGAAGAGTTCAGACTTCCAATTTCACTATCAGAGGGGGATGATTGGATATGCCTCTAAGGGTGTAGGAAATATTCTGGGCATAGCATTCAGTAAGTGAGGAGCAAAAAGTCTATCCGAGACAGGGATAAGTAGGATTTAGAAAAACATGAGAAGTGTCTTTCCCCTGGGTGTTTGTGGCACCAGGGGTCAATCCAGCCCACTTCTTCAGTAAATTTCAATAAAGCTGTGTGGTGACATCTACTCCCTGCAGTAGCAGGGGGATGTTTGTCTAAAGCTGGGTCAAGTTAACAGTTGAAATCTCCCATTACAAGTAGGGATACATCAGGGTAGCTTAACTGGTACTCTAATAGTGTTCTCAGGAGCAGGCTGTTAAATGGTGGTGGAATGTAAATAATACAAAATACATTTCAAAGTAAATAATCGGCACAGTAAAAATACATATCTTCCCTCATCATCTATCACATGGTCAAATCCCTGGAAATCCAGGGTGTTATGTACCAGTACACTCACACCCCGTGAGTAGTTGGTGCGAGTGGAGTGATATGCTTTGCCCACCCATGCAAAGTTCAGACATGAGACAGAGTCAGCTGTAAGGTGTGTTTCTTGCAAGGCACAGATGGCAAGTAAGTGCATACGCAGTGAGGTAGACACCATGGTTCGTGTTAGAGGGTCATGCAGCCCCCTAATGTTCCAAGACACTACTAGTACTGTTGTCATCATGAGAGTAGAGGCAAATATTTATATTTGCCTCTACTCTGATGATGACAACAGTACTAGTAGTGTCTTGTCTGTGACTGGATAACATAGTGGTGGTTCAGCAAATGAGAGATCTCAAGTACTGTCTTTATACTGGTTGAAGGGTGGATAACTTGTAAAGTTCCGCGTAGGTGCAGTGGGAATTTACATTGAGTTCCTAAGGGGTTATGGCATAGAAGATAAGGTTAATAAGGTTGATCCTGCCTATCAGGGACAATTTAAGCCTAGCCCACAGTTTGACTTGGTCTCTAAAGAGGTTAATGAGAGGTACCAATTTGAGCCGAATGTAGTTAAGAAGGGGTGGAGTAACCTGGATGCTCTGATACTTAAAAGAGGATGAAACAGGAATGCTATATAAGAAAGTGCCTGCAAATCTGGTTCCCTGTCCAATGACTTGGACCAATTTATGACCAGGCCAGAGTAACCAAATGTTGTTAACTCTCCAGCCTTCTGGAAGGAGGAGGTGCTGCAGTGTGTCATAACAATTTGCTGAAAAAAGGGTTTTTCATGAAGGTCCCCATGATCTACCCATTCAGTGAAAATAAAACTAAACTGACAAATCGCAACGGCGCTCAAACATTCACAGTAAGGTAGTATACTAGAGCACCAAAAAGCAATTTTAGACCCGAGACACACCACAAGAAAAACAAAGAACAGAGAACAAAACAGGTTCTCCCAGCTGCTGGAACTGCTGCAGTGTGTCAAACAATTTGCTGAAAAAAGTTTAGAAAGATGAACCATTCAGTGAAAATATTATGAATCACTTTCTGCATTAAGGTAGCTATGGACACAAGTAGACAGGAGTAAAGTGTAAATGGCACATTCCCAATAGGCGGTATATTGATTATCCAGTAAGGTGAGTGAACTTTAGTCCTCCTCTGCTGCTGGCCTCAGGGCCCGACAGAAAGCATTTTCATTGGCTTCAAGCCAGGTGGAGGCCTCTGCTGCATTGTCAAAAAAGTGCTCTTGACCCCTGATGGTAATGCAGAGATTTGCAGGATAGAGAATGGCATATGAGGCCTGCAATTTCTGGAGGCACTTTTAACATCAGAGAACCGTGCTTTACGTTTCTGAACCTCAGCAGGGAAATCAAGGTAAAACAACACCCTCATTCCATTAAATTGAATATTTTGGGTTTTTTTAGCCAGCCTTAGAATAATTTCTTTGTCCCTGTCATATCAAAAATACACCAAGACAGGGTGCAGTGGGTGTACCAGTGGCAGGGGGTGAGGGGGGACTGTATGAGCTCTCTCCATAGTATAGAGGGGCGTGAAGGCCTCCTTCTCAAAGATATCAAGTTGCCAGTGTTCCACAAAATCAGTGGGGTCTCTGCCTTCCACCTTCTCTGGTAACCTCACAATTCGAACATTGTTACACCTCAAACAATTTTCAAGGTCTTCCACTCTCTTGTCAGTGGCTTTAGCTAGTTGGTGGTGGACTGGGTTCCCCTGAGATGAGGAGGAAGTTTATCTTCTATATCACTGACTCTGCTCTCTGCAGCTGTGGTTCTCTCCCCTATCTTTTGCAGATCCTGCTGGATCAGCGCTATTTCTTTCTTCAATCCCCAAAGTGTTTTTAGTCTGTTAACTGAAGTCATGCATTTA